TAAGGCCTTGTTTCTAAAAACTGAAGTAGACATGGAATTGGACTTTTTAACAACATCCTAAGCAAATACGCAAAGTTACTGAATGCTGATAGACGGGCTAGATTTAAATCCTATTTTAAATCCTCAAATGTATCACCTTAATCTGTGGAGCCACTATTTGCTTGTTAAAATAAAAAAAATCAAAGGCGAACATTTTCCATTTGATGACAAAGGTATCGATCTGTGGTGGCCGAGCGAGCATAACGCACACTTAAACGATCACACCAACACACTTAAATCAGGACAATTATTGCCGAGGCAACCAAAACTGACTGACAGATCTTGTATTTATAATAAAGTTCCTCAGATACTTGAAAGTTGTCTGTGTCTAAATTACAGCAAGTTGGACTTGGTCAGTGAGCACTCTCAGGGAAAGACCAAAGAAGATCCAGGACACGTTGACAAGGTGATCCTTTCCAGTTCGACGTTTTACTCGTAACTTCTGATCGATTCTCACACTCTTCCGTGTAAAATTGAAGCGTCAGTCATTGTTTAGAGTTACGATTCCAACGCTTCAAACTCTAATGTCAGTCTTGTAACACCCTTTCATTTCCTCTCTGACACACACACTCTTGTAGCATCTTTGTCTTTATTGCAGCCCGAGGCTAACATTAGCGCAGACAGGTAGGATAACGAGTGTCATTAAGGTTAATAATAGCATTACATCAGACACAGAACTCTGTAATTGTGTGCATGTGAGAGAGTGGTGATGTGCTTTGGTTTAATTAGCAGTAAAATCCAAAATTACCCCTCTCTCCGTTCCTTTCTCGTTCATGCCCTTTCATCTAACCTGATCCTCTGTTTCTACATTTGTCCACTCTGTCTTTTTCCACCTCTCGCTTCTGTTCCTTTTTTTCCCCTTCAGCATTTGTTTCAAGTGGAAAGAATGATTTAAACTTGTTATGTCAGCCCTTTGAGTTATTATTGTCTTAACACTGAGAAGGAAGTGTCGATACAAGTCTGCAAGCTTTAAAAAGAATTATGTTCGAACGTTGTGGTCTTGATGATGTTAATGTACATACGAGCTTTAAGAGAAGGATGGCAAACATTTTTATGAAATTAATCTCAATTTAAACTAATGTTGACTGCAAATTTGTGGTTATTTTAAGGCCGTAGTTTGCTTTTTACATGTAGTTTTAGTAACCCAGGACTTGTCTGTGAAGGTTCTCAGTCATCCAGGTCATCGTAGTCAAAGGAGCTTG